ACGAACCAGTGTCCCCTGCATCGGCAGGCGGACTCTCAACCGCTGCGCCACCAGGGAAGCCCTGTCCAGACTTTTAATAGCAGACCTTAATTTCTTCTGTTCCCTTTTAAATGTCCTATAATTGGAATAACCCATCTGTCCTCTTTTATGTTCAGCTTCTTTCACTCAAAACAATGTAAGTGAGATTTCTCTATAGTGTTGACCTCATTCTCACTGATGTGTTGAACGGGTATAAATTAGTCAGTATTTCTATTTCTATTCGTTCATATTAATATATTGATGAATATACACTTGATATTCATTATTCTGTTGATGGACATTTGGATGCTTTCTGGTTTGGGGTGAGTATAAACACTTGGACCTCTTGAGTATATTTGTCAGGGTGGAATTGTTGAGTTCCCTTCAAGATATGGATCGTTTTTGCAAGTGGTTGTGACATATTCACCTTTAAAATTTTAGCCATTCTTGTGGGTCTGGACACCATTTCTAATGGCTGGATAGTATACCACTGCATGAATATTCAATTGATTAATTTAAACCACCATTTGGGTTGTTGCCAGTTTTGAGTCTTCTAAAAAGTATAGTGATGAACATCCTTGAGTACTTTTCTTTATGCACTTGTAACTGCCCCCTAGCAATCACCGTTTTGGTTATTTCCAGTTTTGTTTTCAGGTACAAAATAACACTGGATATATGTAAAATAGATAACCAACAAGGGCCTACAGTATAGCACAGGGAACTATACTGAATACCTTGTAATAACCTATAATGGAAGAGAATGTAAAAACAGAACATATATGTATATATATATTTATGTATGTATAACTGAATCACTTCTCTACACACCTGAAACTAAGACAGCATTGTAAATCAACTATATTTCAATAAAAATTAAAAAAAAAACAAACCCGCTGGAATAGAATTCCTTGCACATTCATCTTTTTTTTAAAAAAAAAATCCAAAAACATGTGTATGGAGGAGATTCACTGACAATTGTAGCAGAAGTGCCAATTCTTAAAAAAATTAATTAAGTTATTTATTTTTGGCTGCATTGGGTCTTAGTTACTGCACACGGGCTTTCTCTAGTTGTGGCAAGCGGGGTCTACTCTTTGTTGCGGTGTGCAGGCTTCTCACTGCGATGGCTTCTCTTGTTGTGGAGCATGGGTTCTAGGCATACGGGCTTCAGTAGCTGTGGCATGCAGGCTCAGTAGTTGTGGCTCGCGGGCTCTAGAGCGCAGGCTCAGTAGTTGTGGCGCACGGGCTTAGTTGCTCCACGGCATGTGGGATCTTCCCAGACCAGGGCTCGAACCCATGTCTCCTGCATTGGCAGGCAGATTCTCAACCACTGCACCACCAGGGAAGCCCCAGAAGTGCCAATTTTTGATGGTGGCTTTATCCTACCCTTTGGCCTAACTGGTATTTCTCTAGTTTAACCTCTGAATGAGCGAGATTTGCAAAGAAAAAAAAAAAAAAAAAAAGAAAGCGGTGGGTTTTTTTTTTAAAGAGAATTTAGTTTTTTTGCTTTTAACATCTCTTTTTGTTTTGGTCTTGGGGACAGAGCCAACCCAGGGCAGTGTAGCTGCACAATGCATGGGATGAAGGGCTGAAGGCTGCTTCCTCTTGCAAGCTGGCTTGTGAGATTGCACCTTCTCTTCCTGCTTTTCCTCCAGGTCTATGACCCTCCAAGGTATGAAGTCTGACTGGTCCAGCCAGAAGGGGGTACTTCTGCAAAGTAAGTGTCTTATGCTCCAAGTTATACATCAGGGCTGCTTGACAGTGTCTGAACTGTCTCTGCATCAAAGTACTTCTGAAAGCCAGTCATTCCCTCATTCTTCCCTCTACCACCCTTCCATCTGTCATTGATCCCGGAGCCTGTGCTCCGCAGCGAGAGAGGCCACAGCAGTGAGAGGTCCGTGTACTGCAAAAAAAAAAAAAAAAAAAAAAAAAAAAGAAAGCGGTGGGTTTTTTTTTTAAAGAGAATTTAGTTTTTTTGCTTTTAACATCTCTTTTTGTTTTGGTCTTGGGGACAGAGCCAACCCAGGGCAGTGTAGCTGCACAATGCATGGGATGAAGGGCTGAAGGCTGCTTCCTCTTGCAAGCTGGCTTGTGAGATTGCACCTTCTCTTCCTGCTTTTCCTCCAGGTCTATGACCCTCCAAGGTATGAAGTCTGACTGGTCCAGCCAGAAGGGGGTACTTCTGCAAAGTAAGTGTCTTATGCTCCAAGTTATACATCAGGGCTGCTTGACAGTGTCTGAACTGTCTCTGCATCAAAGTACTTCTGAAAGCCAGTCATTCCCTCATTCTTCCCTCTACCACCCTTCCATCTGTCATTGATCTATCCATCATCTATGTTATCCCCCATTCATTCACTGATCCATCCAGTCATTCATCAGTCCACCTCCTATTCATTGATCTCTTTACCAATTCCTTCAGCTTTCTTCATTCACACACATTTATCTACTCAGGTTTCATCCATCCATCTGCCCACTCATCTATCCTCCGTCCCTCCATCTATCCATATATCCCGCCACCCACCCACCCATCCATGCATCTATCCATCCACCCACCTACTCATCTATCCATCCATCCATTCCTCCAGCCATCCATTCCTCCATCCACCCACACATCCATCCATTTATCTGTTTACTCACTCATCCATCCATCCATGTGTCCATTTCCTTATTTACTTATCTGTTCATCAATTCATTCATCAACTTCATTTACTCATCCATTTGCAACCCTACCCTTCATCCATTCCTCCAACCCATCCAGCATTCATTCGTCCACTGATTTATCCATTCAGTATCTAGCCATGTGACCATCTATCCATCCAACTTTCAGTCCACTCACCCACTCATTTATCGGTCAAGCTAGCCACCCAGCCAATACCTGTTCAAAACTTGGAGCCAAGCCCTGTGACTGAGATAGGGCCACCGAAGTGACTCAGACTTGGTTCCCACCCTCTAGGAATTCACAGTCGATGGAGAAAAGCAAATAATAGCACCAGGCGCACGCACACACAAACAGGATATTTCCAAAATACTGTGATCAGTGCTGTACTCACAGCATGTTCCAGATACAGAAGAATGTTGAAAAGCAGGTGGTCAGACATTCAGGTGAGAACGTGCCCTGTGTGCTGATGCTGAAGCAGCCACAGGATGATGAGGGAGACATGGGTACCAAAGGCCACCTGGGCACGTGGCTGGGAGAGAGCGGGCCTGCGAAGGACAGGAAGAAGATTGCAAGGTGCCAGGAGCAAGAAGATGTAGGTTCTGGGGTGAGTGCCCGTCCCAGCCAGGAGGTCTCGTGTGTACATTACACCGCTCCCTGACCACTTCCCTATAACCCCCCAACAGGCAGAGCTGAGCCGCCTAGGAGCCAAGACAATGCAGCAAGCAACACAGCTACAGGTGTCACCCAGTGGGCAGAGCTCCTATCAGCCGTCCCCAACCTTCAAGACAAAGTGGGGATACTGCGTCTGCAGCTACAGGTGTCACCCACTGGGAAGAGCTCCCATCAGCCCGTCCCCAATCTCCAAGGCAAAGCAGGGACACTGCGTCCACAGCTACAGGTGTCAACCAGTGGGAAGAGCTCCCATCAGCCCGTCCCCAATCTCCAAGGCAAAGCAGGGACACTGCATCCACAGCCCCGGCATGAGCCACCTGCACCCAAGGAGACCCTTCTGCAACAGCCAGACAAGGACAAGATGGTGGCTCATCATATCCCATGCCTCCGGGCTGTGGTGGAGAGCCAGGCCTTCAAGAATGTCCTGGTGGACGAAATGGACATGATGCTGTCCCATGCAGCCACCCTCATCCAAGCCAACTGGAGGGGCTACCGGCTCCGGCAGAAGCTAATCTCTCAGATGATGGTGACCAAGGCCATCCAGGAGGCCTGGCGACGCTTCAGCACCAGGTGCCTCCTCCAGTCTGGCAAGACGGTGGAGAAAAAAGCGAAGGTGAAGGAGGGGGACATCCCTTACCACCCGCCCCAGCAGGTGCGGTTCCAGCATCCGGAAGAGGGCAAGTCCCTTCTGGCCCAGCCCACCATGGTGAGCAAGGAGACCCAGTTGCCTTCCTCCAACGGCCTGGCCGCTTATACCCACCAGCTGGCCTTGCTGCAGTCCCAGGGCATGTCACAGCCGGGTACGTGCTCTGTCGGAGGCCCCAGCGTCGCCTTCCTTCCACACCAGACCGTTGCCATGAGACTTCTGTGTCCTGTGAGTCCAGAGGTGAAGTGCCACCCATGCCTGCCGACAAGAACCGTCAGAAATGCCTGCCTTGTCCACGTAGAGGGGGACACGATGAAGACCAAGCAAGTAACTGCCAGAGCCAACAAGGCAGGAGCCCCAGGGCCACCACCATCCGGAAGATGTGCCCAGGCAGTTCAAGGACAACTCAAGATCCAGACCCAGGCCCACATGGAAGCAGAGGTCCTCAAAGGGCCACCACAGACAGGCCCAGCACCTGTGATAACCAAGACCCCAGCCCAGACGTGCCCACAAGCCACAGTGACCAAGACCCCACTCCAGTCATGCCTGGCGGCCATGATGAACAAGATCCAGTCCCAGCCGTGCCCAGTGCCCACGATAACAATAACCAAAACCCCACCCCAGCCCTGCCCAGCGACCCCAGTGACCAAGACCTCAGTTCAAATGAGATCATCAGCCTCGATGACCAACACTTCACCCCGGACACGACCAGCAGCCATGATGGCCAAGACTCCACCCCAGTTATGCCTGTTGCCCTCAGTGATCAAGTCTCCAACGCAGATACGCCCTGCAGCCACAATGACCAAGGCCCCGCCCCAGACATGTGCAGCGCCCCTGACGGCCAAGACCCCACTCCAGGTGCGCCCAGCAGCCACGATGACCAAGACCCCATCTCATCAGACACTCCAAGGCGTCTCAGTGACCAAAGGTCCTCCTGTCCAGACACGCCTGGTGGCCATGGTAACCAAGACCCCAGCTCAGTTACGCTCAGTAGCCACCATCCTCAGGACCCTGTGCCTGCCCCCTCCAGCAGCTGGAAATTTCAAACCTTCATCTTCAGCAGCTGCGGCAGCTGGAATTGCCGATACCTCATCCCACGTGTGTCTAAGTGGACCGAGGGCCAAGGCTGTGGTGAACGCGAGGCAGGCAGCAGGGGTGACCAAGGTCTCACCCGACTCGTACTTGACTAAGGGAGAAGTGACATGCTTCCCCCCATCACATCTGGGGGCTGGGGATCCCAAGGCTACAGCCAGGCCTCCTTCAGAAGGTGAGAAAATCAAGGCCTTCTCCCAGAAACGGGTGAAAACGGAAACAGCATCTAACGTGAGTGTGGCCATGGAAGCGCCCGCGGTTTCGTCCTGGTCAAAAGTGGCTGAGGACGGGGACAGGCAGGCACACCTGAGGACGGATGTCGTGGAGGCCCTATCCCAGGTATGTGAGCCTTTAGAAGCAGCTGTGGCACCTCTGGGTACGCGTCTGCCTCAGGCACAACCGGCCCCGTGTTCAACCACAGGCTCGCCCCAGCAGGCACGTCTGCTGGCCGAGCTGACCGAGCCCCTGTCCCAGGCACGTGTTTCTACCAAGCTGACCAAGGGCCCGTCCCAAGGACATCCACCCCCTGAGCTGACCACAGCCCTAGCCCAATCACATCTGGGCATGTGTCTGTCCAAGGTGCAGTCCCAGGCACATCTGCCCCCCAAGCTGACCCAAGCACAGTCCCAGGCACATCTGGCCACAGAAACAGCCAAGAGCTTCCATGCAGCCTGCCAGGCTGCTGAGCTCAGCAGCAAGACCGAGTCCCAACCATTCCTAGTTGAGTTCAAGGCCTCCACCCAGCCCTGCCAGCACGTTGGCGCTCTGCCCCGAGCCAAGCCAGAGGACAGACTGACCCAGCTCCTGTCCCACAGCTACGTGCAGGGCAAGGCCACCCAGGGCCCACGCCAGGGGGCCTCTGAGAGCCAGAACACGCTGGTGCCTCTGCTGGCCTCTGCTGGACACACCACGTGCAATGTCGAATCCTGGGGGGACAGGGCCCCGCTGTCAACAAGCAGCCCAGCCCCGCCCTGCCAGGAGGAGCTGGCAGCCTCCCAGCTCGCTTCCCTATGTGCTGAGCTGGCTGCCCTGCTGGGCTCCCAGGAGAACCTCTGCGCCCTGCTGGCAAAAGCCCTCTCCCAGGGGGAAGTGAGGGCGGCCCTGGACCAGGCCCCGTCCAAAGAGGTCTCGGGAGCCACGATGGCCAAAGCCCTGCCCCAGGGCATCCTGGGCACGGCGCTGGTGAAGGCGCTGTCCTGGGGCAAGCTGGCCACCAGCCTGTCCTGCGCCCTGTCCCGGGGCGAGCTGTGGGCCGAGCTCACTAAGGCCATTCAGGGCAGACTGGAGGACGTGCTCAGCAAGGCCCTGACGGAAGGGGAGCGGGCCACCTTGAACCAGGCCCTGTGTCAGGGTGAGCTGGGCGCAGTCCTCAGCCAGTCTTTTTCTCAGGTGGCCCTGAGGTCTGGAGTCGTCTTCCCCAAGGCTGCCGTGAAAACAGCGGGAAGTGGGGTGACTGCGATGCCGACCCCAGTGGAGGTGGACTGCAGGGTGAGCCCGTCGGCTGCATGGGGGCCCACCCTGGGCTCCATGAGACTACAGCCCAGCAAGGTCAGGGTTCACTGGGGTGGGGAGGGTTTCATCACAGGCTGGCCCTCTAGGTTCTTGGAAGAGGTGGGGGATGGAGCCATGCTCGGGAGGTCACCCTGCTCATCGGTGGTCTCTGTGGGTGCCTCCTTGACTGCTGGACTCCTTGACCCCTCGACCATTCATCAGTATCCCCTGATTGGTGCCCTGGACCCCACTCTGTCACAGGAGATGGGACCCAGCAGAGGCACCCTAAATCTGTACCTGACCCCCAAGGTCCATGAGGCAAATGTGTGCCTGCACCCAAGGGCTAGTGAACTGGCATCAGATCTCAGTCCCATGGTGAGTGATGTGGACCCCAATTTGCCCAAATCACCCCACCAGCAGCCGCCCCCCAGTCTATGGCAGCCACTCATTGCCAATGGCATGGGCCCAAGCATGAGCCGGCCATCGTTGGCCAGTGGCAGCATGACTCCAAGCGCCCACAATCCACACGAGGTCAGCACGGTAGCCACACGTCCATGGGCGTCATCGTGGGAGGGCAGGGTGGTGGCACCGGGCAAGCTTCCCGGCACTACAGGTCGTGGGAGGGGCACCCACTCCCACCAGTGTGCTGCCGCCTACACGGGGTCGGCTTGCGGGTGTCAACCCTCCGGGGTCAGCAGGGTACCTCCCGGTGTGTGTCGACCCTCAGTGGCCAGAGGTCCGCAACAGCCATCTACTGTCCCTGAGGAGACCACGCAGAGAACTCGGTCCCCAAATCATAAATGAGCCTCCATGGGCACTAGGGAGATGACCAACAAGGTGACCCCAAGTCCCCACATGCCTCCACGGTGAACAAAGCACAACCACAGGACCCCGAGGCCTGTGTCATAACCCCAGATCTCCGGCCCAGTTCTGTGGCTCCTGGTCATCGCTGGGCACTCAAGACAGGTTGATCCCAGTCTGTTCCAAGCCTCCCCAGGCAATAGGCTGGCGCCCACCCTTCCCTGTACAGCCATCCCTGGGCAGGAGAAAAATCAAACACGGGGTACCATTTCCAGTGTTCACTGCCCACAGGAGCTGGTGACTAGCCATATACTTAATGAACTGGTGTCCACTTTGCCACAGGGTCCAGACAGTGACCTGGCCAGAAGCTTCTCCCAGGGCTCCACAGACTATGGCCCCAGTAGGAGCAATTCCCAGAGCTCACTGCGCAGCTGCAGTTCACTCAGCCTTTCCGCCAAGCCTGTGGCCAGCATGGCCGCTGTTGACCTGGTGGAGGAGTAGTCCTGGGAAGCCAGCTTGGACAGGGACCTTCGTCTGGGGCGCCTGTGGAGAGGTCGCAGGGACCTGGGAATATGGAAGAGACAGAGAGCAGGCCATAGGCACATGACCCCAGACCTCCACGCCCAGTCTTCAGCAGCCTCAGAACTGATCCCCATTCTGCATCACAGTTCAGTGGCCAGTCGCATGTCCTTGAGTGTCCACTGGGGCTCAGATGATGAGGGAGCTATGTCCTCAGGCCAAAGCTCCATGAATCCGAAGGAGAGCTTGTCCCAGAAACCCTATAGGACTGGGTTGACCAGAAGTCTGTCTTTGAGTAATGTGGTCCCTATGGTCTATTGGTGGCCATCTGTGGCCGGTAGGTTGACCCCATGCCTATCCCAGCCTACAGTAGCCAGTAAGGTCGCCCCAGACCCAGACCAGCTCTCTATGGCCAGTAGAGTGATCACCAGCCTCTCTGAGCCATCTGTGGCCAGTAAGATGACTCCCACCCTAAGCTTGCCATCTAAGGCCAGTAAGATAACCCCCAGCCTAAGCCAGACATCCAGGACCAATAGGGTGGCCCCTAGCCTAGCTCAGCCATTGGTGACTGATGGGGTGGTCCCCAGCTTTGCACAGCCATTGATGGCCTATATGGTGGCTCTCAGCCTAGCCCAGCCATCCATGGCCGGTGTGGTGGCCCCCAGCTTAGCCCAACCACCTGTGACCGGTGGGGTGGCCCTGGGCCTAGCCCAGCCATCTATGACCACTGAGGTGGCCCCCAGCCTTACCCAGCCACCTGTGATCAGTGGGGTGGCCCCTAGCTTAGCCCAGCTGCCTGTGACTTGTGGGGGGACCCCCAGGCTAGCCCCGCCACATGTGACCAGTGAGGTGGCCCCCAGCCTTGCCCAGACACCTGTGACCAGTGGGGTGGCCCTGAGCCTAGCCCAGCCATCTATGACCACCAGGGTGGCACCCAGCATTGCGCAGCCACCTGTGACCAGTGGGGTGGCCCCCAGCTTAGCCCAGCTGCCTGTGACTTGTGGCAGGGCCCCTAGCCCAAGCCAGCCACCTATGACTGATGGGATGACCCCCAGCGTAGGCCAGACATGTAGGGTTGGTGTGGTGGCCCCCAGTCTAGCCCAGTCACCTATGACCATTGGGGTGGCCCCTAGCCGAGGCCAACCATCTATGACCGTTGGGGTGGCTCCTAGCTTAGGCCAACCTCCTATGGCTTATGTGGTGGCCCCCAGCCTAGGTCAGCCATCTGTGGCTGGTGCGGTGTTCTCCAGCCTAGCCCAGCCATCTGTGGCCAGTAGGGGGATGCCCAGCCTGGCCCAGCCATCTGTGATTAGTGGTATGGTTTGTGCACTCTGTCAGCCAAGTTGGGCCCGTAGCGTGGGTTCAAATCTACTCTCATCAAGGGTGAATGCAGTGGCTCCTAGTCAGCGTCATTCATCTTTTGCCATTGAAGTCACCTCGTGTGCACCATACCCATCAGTGGTTAACAGCATGGGCCGGGGTCTGAGCCAGCCAACTGTGTCTACTAGGGTGGACCCATGTCAAGATCCTCTGATGGTTAGTGGGGTGAGCCCAAATCCCCAGACCCCTGAGTTCAGCAAGGTGGCCCTTGGGTTTCATCAGCCATCCAGTATTAGTGGGAGGCACCCAAGCGTAACAACAATCTGCTGTCACTGTTTCAGCTCCAAGTCTACCAGGCATCTGTGGCCAGTGGAGAGGACTCTTGTCTGGGCCAGGGAACCAGTATATCTCAGGGGATTCTGTTCAGGGGCATGGCTACAAGCATGTCCCAGGGCACCATGGCTGCTGGCATGCTCCCAAATGTGCCTCTGGGGACTTTGGCTGCTGGCATGTTCCTAAGTATGTCTCGGGTACCTATGTCCCCTGGCATGTCAGGGAGTATGGGGTGGAGAAGTGTGGTGACTGGTATGGGCCCAAGCCAATCTCAAGTGACCAGGGGCATGGCCCCCATTACATCCTGGGCTTCTGTGGCTGGTGCCCCCTTGATTCATGAACCAGCCTCAGAGGTGGGACCTGGCTTCTCTCCAGCTTCAGTGCCCGGTGGATTGGATGTGAGTTCATCCAAGTTTTCCCTCACCAGTGTGGGCCCCGGCATACCTCAGGTCAATGTTGATCTCCCAATATCTTTGGACCAACAGTGTCCTTTTGTGCTTACAATCTCCAAATCCAGGTACCAACAAGCAGATGCTGTCAGCCAGGAGCCTGGGATGGGCATGGCCGGTGGTGTGGTGCCAGGCTCTGTAGCCAGTAGGATGACCACAGCTGTGGTCCCAGGTACTAGGGCCGGTGGTATGACCTCTAGTCTTCCCCCAGGGTCCGTGATCAGGGGTGTGGGCCAGAGCCTTCCTCAAGGGTCCATGATGAGTTGTGTGGCCCCAGCCTTCCACCAGGTTATGTGGTCAGTGGCATGGGCCAGGGCCTTTCCCCAGGGTCCATAATCAATGGCATGGGCCAGGGCCTTTCCCCAGGGTCCGTGATCAGTGGCATGGGCCAGGGCCTTTCCCCAGGGTCCGTGATCAGTGGCATGGGCCAGGGCCTTTCCCCAGGGTCCGTGATCAGTGGCATGGGTCAGGGCCTTCCTCCAGGTTCTGGGGCCAGTGGCATGGCCAGAACCCTGCCTCTGAGTTCTGTCACGACTGCAGTGTCCCCCAGCCTGAATGCAGCATCTGGTGCTGGTGGGAAGAGGCAAGGTCTCTCTGTAAGACCCTCAGCTAGTCGAACTGCTCCAAGCCTGCTCCTAGGTTCAGCGGCAAGTGGGGTGGGCTCAAGTGTCCCTCCTTGTCCTGTGGCCTCTAGTGTGGACCCAGCATCTATGCCTGGGGGACTGGATCAGAACCTAGTTCTGGAGTCCATGGCTAGTACAGCTGGTCCAACCTCCACAGTTGGAGGCGTGGCTCAGAGCCTTCCCCAAGGGTCCATGCTGACTGGGATCTCTCCTCGTCAATATCACGGAGCCCTGGCAGAAGCGTCCACAGCCTCCTTCCAGGCATCCCGTACCCCTGGCCTGGCTCAAGCTCATCTCCAGGAAGCTAATGGCACAGCCAAGGGAGTGTACCAAGTGCCTACGGTTCTGCAAAGAGCCTCACAGTTGAGCCAAGCTCTTGGGATGATGCCGTTTGAGACCACAGGCCACCAGACTGTGATAAAGCCAGAGGACCTGGACAAGCCTTTGCCCCAGGGGTCCATATCCAACTGGGAGTCCGAGGTCCTTGAGGCAACCCCGTGGATGTCCCATAGTCCCCTGGCAACTGACATCGACCACAGTCAAGAATTCCCTGCAGAGAATGAGACTCTTCCCAAAAACCAAATGCCGCTCTTGGAGGAGGTGGCTCCCAGCTAAGCCGTCTATGACCAGTGGCATGGCCTCTGTCCCTCCACAGTCCCCGAGTTTTGCCAAGCACTCCATGGCCAGTGGTGGCACCCCAACTCTGCATCAGAGGTCAGCCAGCAATTGGCGGACCCCCAGTTCCCACCTTGTGGCTGCTAGTGGGGTCCCCGGTGCGCAGACAGGGTCTGTCAAGGGCACTTTGGCTCATCAACAGACATCAGTGTCTCACACTGTACCCCGGAGCCCCTCCATGGTTTATGTTGTGCCCCAGAGCCCCTCGGCTTATCAAAAGGCTTTGGAGGCTCACATTATGCCCCAGAGCCCCTCGGTGGCTCACATGTCCCAGAGCCATTCCCATGGGATGATGGCTTCTACTGTCATCTCAGGGTCACCCAAGCTGGCCCATGGCAACCGGTTTACACCCAGGGTCTGTGGCTGGGATGCGGACCCCAAGCACTTCCCGGAAGTCAGGGGCCACCAGCATGGCCTCACATGTGCCACATCATCCACCCCTGGTTAGAGGGATGGCATCCAGCACGCTCCAGAAGCCAGTGTCTGGGGGTCTGATTCAGGATGACCATGAGTCCCTTGGCCCTAGAAAATCCTTCAGGGCCACGCATGATGTCCCTTTCCCACAAATGCCAGACAATTCTGTGGCTGGGACTGGGCACACCCATCAGGAGCAGAAGGATGCCCCCAGGTCCTCACAGGAAGTTCCTAAACATTCCACAGGTGCGCCGTTGGCCATACTGCCAACAATCCACACTGGTGACATGGCACAACGGATGGTCTTCCCTAGGCTGAATCCGAGGGTTTGGAGGGTGTCTCTGGGCTATGAGTCTTCACCGAGTGGTTCCCGGCGGCCCCTTTTGAACCAGGAGTCGCCGCTGGTATCTCGGAATTCCCTTAGCTCCGTGGCTCCTTCAGACAGTCACGGGGCATCCCTGACTCCCGCTGTACTCCAGGGTCCTGAGGATGCTGGCATGTCTGGCAGCCAAGTGTGGAACTCTGCCGTCCCCAGTGTAGCAGTCGGGCCCAGAAACAGCACTGCGGCCCCTGGTGGCGCGTGGGATGTCATGGCGGCGGTGGATCCCAGACAGCCGGAGGAGCTGGTGACGTCGTCGGCGCAGGCTGTGGACGAGATAATCATCCATGCGGTGGTCATCATCCAGGCGTGTACACGTGGCTTCCTGGTGCGCCGTACCATCAAGGTGTGGCATCAGTGGGCCATCACCATCCAGGCTGCCTGGCATGGCTACCGTGTACGGCGGGACCTGGCCCGGCTCTGCAGAGCCGCCACAATCATCCAGGCTGCGTGGCGAGGCTTCTGCATCCGCAGGAGCTGCACCCAGCAAATGCTGCTCCCAGGCATGTGGGCTGAGACGGGCAGTGGGGCGAGGACAACGTCTGATCACCACTGCTTCCAGTCCTGCCAGCCACGTGTCTGTAGTCTCTGCCAGTCACTGAGCTCCAGGCTAGGGAGCCCACCCATCGTGGTGATGCTTGTGGGTTCCAGCTCCCGCACATGCCACATATGCGGCCATACCCTGCCCACCCGGGTGCTGCATGGCACGGGCCAGGGTGCTGCAGGCCAGGCCGGCATGCCACGGGGCTGCATCACCCGGTCAAACCCCCAGAGCCCCTGGCAACCCCATCACCAGAACAAGGCAGCCACGGCCATCCAGTCAGCCTGGAGGGGCTTCGCTGTACGCTGCCGGTTGAAGCAGCAGCAGTTAGCAGCCAAGATGCTTCAAGCCACCTGGCGCGGCCATTGCACCCGGGCCTCTCTCACCACGGATGCACTCTTGGGACCAGCGGCGTGGGACAACTCACAGCACATGCAGTGGCCAGGTGTCTAGGACCTTGGCTTACCAGTGGGGGAACACCAGGGGAGGAGCCATGTGGCTCTCTGGGTCTAATGAATAAAGCCCTCCACAGTCTGGGTCTTGGCCTACCTATGCTTACGGGGGTGTCTCAGGCATGGTGCGAGGGAAAATGAGAGGGATCTGGAACATCCTGGACAGGAGGGGCCCAAAACTTCCAACCACGCAGTTGGCACCTAGGGTCTGTGGCTGGTATGGGGACCCCAAGTCTTTCCCGGAGGTCAGGGCTGCCAGCGTGGCCTCATATGTACCATCATATTTACATCCACGGCTAGCAGGGCAGCATCGTCGGTTCCAGATGGAGGTACTCCAGAAGCCAGTGTCTGGGGACCTGGCCTAGAATGGCCACCATGAGTCCCTTGGCCCTGGAAAATCCTACAGGTGCATGCATGGGTGCCTCATTCAGGAAATACTAGAGGGTTCCAGCCACATCCAGATTTGGGGGGATGCTGGGCTCACCCCCAAAGGGCCCCAATCTGGGTGAGAGAGAGCCGTACACAGACATCCCCAGCTGGTGGGATCAGGGACAGGGCAGAGAGGGAGAGAGGGGGCAGCCTGGCCAAGAGGAGGGGTAGAGGGAGGTGACAGCGTGGGTTTGGGGCAGCCATAGAGGAGGCACAGAGAGATGGGGGCTCCAGGGGGAACTAGAAGGGGCAGAGGGTGTCCTGAGGGGATAGGCAGAGTGTAAAGGCTTCAGGGTCATGAATCAGGAGGGTTTGTTAGGAGAGGTGGAGGGGTCCAAGTGGAGAGGGGGGTCAGGAATGTCGCCCCTGGTGAACCGTAGCGCCCCCCAGAGGCCCTGCGTCCGGAAGCCCCGCCTCCGCCTCGCCCCTGAGCAGCTCCGCGCGCCGCCAGCAGGGGGCGCACAGGTGTTCAAGAACAGGCACCTGGCCACACACCTGCGCGGAGCCCGCAGTCCCCCCTCCCCACGCAGGAATGGCGGGCTCCCAGCTGCCGCAGCCGCTTCTGTTACTGCTGCTGAAACCTGGTGGGGGTTCCGGAACTGCCAGTGTCACCTCTACAGGTAAGAACAGGTAAGAAGGAGATCCAGCTTCCAGGAAGCTGGAGGGGGCATATGGCCTAGCCACACACCTGGCATCTGGACTCCTCCCTTAGGCCACGCTGCTCTGGCACTCCATCCCTCCCCCCAGAAGGGCTGCTCCTTCTCCCAGAAGCAAGGTGGGGAGGTCGTGAGAACAGTGGGAGCACCACCACCCTTCCACCCCCACCCCCAGCCCTGAGGCTGCCAGTTCCGCCACCCCAGCATAACCTGAGCCAGCGAGAGGCTGGTGAATGCCTCATACCCAGTTTGAGGTTCTGTTTCAAATCTCAGTTTTTCTTAGCCACACCCCAAAGGGAGAAGTGTGAGGTCCCCAGGACCATGGAGGTGCGGGCGGGAGAAGGGCTCACTTCCTGGTCACTCAGCATCTATGGCTCCCAGGAGAAGTTCTTGGCGCCTGACTTAATTTCTTTCTGCTCCCCTATAAGACAGTTCCCGGGGTGGAGAAGTCATCGCTCTCTCTGACCCATGTCCCAGCCCCAAACCTGGAATATCAGAGTGGAGGCCACCACTCGTGAGACTCTCATAGCAGACAAGGGCTTCACTCAGAAGGCACCACGTTTATCCCCATTTCATAGCTCTCGAAACTGAGGCTCAGGCAAGCCGAGTCTCCCAGCCTGTGCCAGACCCAGATTAGAACCAGCTGACTTGGCTCATGCCAGTCTCCTGGTCTAGGAGTTTCTGGGCAAAGCAAACTCCTGGCACAGTGCATAGAAACAGCCCCATTTTACCTTCTGGTCAACTCTCCAGCAGCTCATGAGTGTCTGCTCTGTGTCAGGCACTCAGTAGAGTTTATGTCCTCAACGACCTCCTCCTTGCAGGCCCACTAGTTTTCCTCAGTTTGCTTTAGAAGTTCAGCTCCTCAGAGGTCTAGCTTGGCTTGGGGTCCACTGTGGCCCCTGAGTCATCTTCATTTCAGCAGATAACTCTTCTCTTCTGTATTCTTCCTCAAATAATGGTGGGACGCATTTTGGGGAGGCTGAACTCTCAGTCCTTGACTCCTTGGAGGTCTTTGAGGGGCCTTCTTCCCACTTTCCAGTCACCTGGGGCCAGACTCTCTACCATTCTGAGCCTCGGTTCCCCACCAGTAAAATGGGGATGAAGCCAGGCCAGCGCACCATGCCTCTTCTAGACTTATCTGTCATCCCCGCGGGGCCTGGGAAACTGGACAGAGAAACAGGGTCTGCATGTGGACCCTGCCCCCTCCTGGGGCCAGTGCCAGATATTATTTCTGCATTTCTGCTGCTTGGGGTGAGGCAGGGGAGGAAGCACAAAGATTGGTCCAGGGCAGAGTGGATGGGGTGGGGCAGGGAGTGGTTGATGAATGAACTTGCAAGCAGTTAAGGTGCCCAGCAGCCTGGAACTGGGAAGGAAGTAATTGTCGGGGGCAGCCCGTGAAATCTTTACCCACCCTCAGCCTGGCCTCTGGGCTCCGTGTTTAGGATGGGGTAGAAGCTAGGGAGCAGCTGGAGCAAGGTAGTGGGGGTTCCAGAGTCTTAGAGCCCAGGCCTCTGTGCCCTCAATAAAACTCTGAGTTTAGCCATGGGGACCTTCCAGGTACCTGGGGAAGCAGATTAGGGCTGATCCTCCTTGGGAGCTCAGGGGTGGATCTCTGCCGTCAAACATCACCTTGTACCAGACCTGCGTGAGCTCTCAGAGACTCTGACTTCCTGTGATGTCCATTTTACAGACAAGGAATCTGAGTCCCAGGAGTTTTAAAAGAGTTGCTCAGCATGCTGCTTGGGTTGCAGCCATTCCCTATATCCAGAGATTTCTAGACCCCTGAAGCAAGAGTAAGGGGCAGGGAGGGTCCACCCTGAACTGGAACCCTGGCTGTGGGAGTTCAGATAAGGAAATTCAGACAAGGGCACCTCAGTTTCCCACTAAGCACCCACGTGGTGCACTAAATCCTCCAAGTCTCCCTAAGTGGTGGGTGTCGTCTATCTGACATGATAGGGAAA